TTGGGCATCGTCATGTGCATCAAAGGTTGCAGGTGTAATTCCTGGTCAGGGCACATGCCTGGGATGTGGGATCAATCCCCAGTAGGAGGTGTGCAAGAGGCAGCCGATAGATGTTCCGCTCCCACACTGATGTTTCCTTCTCTCTCCCGCTCCCTCTCCCTTCCCCTCTCTCTAAATATCAATAAAAAGTCTTAAAAATAAAATAAAGAAAGCCCCAACTTCTGAACTAACAGAAACGTCTGGGTTTTGCTGCAATGAGTGGCAGAGGCTAACAGTTTCTAGGAGATCTTAAAGTATGACATTTTAAGAAGAATGTACACAGATAAAATATTCTCCAGGTATGGATGTCCAAGGAAAACAAGGCACACAGCCAGGCTTTGATCTAATTCCAAGCATCACCAGCTCATTTTCAGTGTCCATAACAAGCTCAACAAAAGCCAACTTGGAAGACCTCTGGAATACTAAGGAAATTCACATTCTAGCCTGTTTAAAATCATATGGATGTGTTATACCAAGTATACAGGATAGAGTACATAAACACCTTAGAAAATAAGAAGGGCCCCAATAATGACTCAGTAGCTTGGAAATCCCTCAGAAGAATATGGAGATGCTCTGAAGGAGTCAAAAGCTTGCCTTCAGTTGAGACCACTCATCAAGACTAGAAATGCAGCAGGCCAGCCGACTGAGACATACTGAAATTAACCGAGAATTGGAAATGTTGGAAAATCAATGTGGAGAATGAAAAATTAGCATGGTGCAGAATGGAAATGATGTGTCGCACCACCAAAGGAGCCCAAATGATGTCCCCAAAAAGAAGCAGCAAGATGAGGAGTATCACCAAGAAATGTGGATCAGCTTCTACTCAGTTCTTTCTATTAAAAATCAGAAGGACACACACTAGAGCTCTCAGAATCCTGGACAAAGTCAAGGGCTTTCAATGGAGCCCAGGAGAGTGCATACAAAAATGCCAAACCTTATCTTGCCAGAACACAGGTAATGAGGGAGGAGGTAGCTGATAATAGACAACTGAACTAGAAAAGAAGGTCTGCATGTTGCGAACTACGGGTTTATTTAGCCTTTAAACGAAAAAAGATGTGGCTTCCTCTAAACAGGCTAGAACAGGGGTGGGCAAACTTTTTGACTAGAGGGCCACAATGGGTTCTTAAACTGGACCGGAGGGCCGGAACAAAAGCATGGATGGAGTGTTTGTGTGAACTAATATAAATTCAAAGTAAACATCATTACATAAAAGGGTACGGTCTTTTTTTTTTTTTTTTTTTAGTTTTATTCATTTCAAACGGGCCGGATCCAGCCCGCGGGCCGTAGTTTGCCCACGGCTGGGCTAGAATGTGCATTTGAGGCATAATGAGGGTTTCCCAGAAGCAGACAGACATTTGTCTGAAGGAGCCTGGAAGGGTCAGCAAACTGAACAGAGCTCCTGAGGTGGTCTGAGCGTGTTTCTGGCAGGCAGGTGAATATGCTTGAAAGCAGCAGGCAAGCTAGAAATTGGTATTCTTGTTCTTCTTTGGTTTCACCTGGTCTCCCAATGGGTGCATAAGGCAACACTCCCTGAGCTCCCATCAGATGATCTGAGAAAAGTTGGCAGATCACACCACCCCCCTCTGCAGAGGAAGCAGCAGCTGCAGAGCCCTGAGGAAGCTCATCAGCTCCTGGGCAGGCAGGTCCGTTGACTCGAGAAGTCAGACGAGTTAACAGGCTGCCCTTTCCCCATAGCGTACAATGTTTCTCTAAAAGGTCTAATGGCCAAGCAATGCTGTGGAAAGTAAAGTTAATAGAAGAGCACTGTGCACCGTGCTGATATCACTGGTGATAACCAGAGAGAAAAACAGGGATCCAGGAGTCAGAAACAAAGAAACGTGTTGGAATTAACACCCTTGGTGGGGGAGGGCCTAACAAACCACTTTTTACTGAATGAATCCCAGGATGAACGATATGAATACAGCAGATGCTATTCATTTGGCCTCTGCTCACGCTTTAGACACAGTACCTCAAGAAATTTTACTTGGGAAATTAATTCAAATTAGCTTGGTTCAGCATGTAATCACTGAAGATTAAAAAGTGGCTGAAGGATGATAAACAACAGACAGTTAAGTGAGAGTCCACACACTAAGAGACTTGGGGTCAACATCGAAGCCATTCTTGTCAGGGGTTCTACTCAGGGCCCGGGAAGGCGTAAACAACTCTCAGGTGAGATCTGCAGAGGATGTTAAGCTGGGAACAGAGGAAGCCCACTGACAGGGGCATAAAATTACAAGGCAGAGTTCAACTGAAAAAAAAAAAGTTAATCTATCTTGGGGAAAAGGACCCTAAACTCCCATAATATTCCATAGACAGGCAGGGTAAGGGGCAGAAGCAGCATGGAAAAAGAGCTCTGACATGCTGTAACGTGACAGAAGCAAGTAAGAATGCTAAGGGAACACGAGGTGTGTGTCATGGAGAATGGAGCGCTGCATACTGCAGGCAAACAAAAATAAAGCAGAGCATCAGAAAATAGCTGATCTTGAAGTGAGGCCAACTTTATCATTTAAAAGGTGGGGGGGGGGGTACATTCTGCACTGAAGAAATGTTTTAATGGCTACAAAACCACCATTCTTATCTGGCAGGTGTTCCGGTCTTTCTCAGATCTTAAGTCGTCTCCCTGGGGGTTAGCATCTAGAAGGTGGCTCTGGGCTGGCTGCTGTTCTGAGGCTCATTGACAATACTGCCCCAAAGGAAAACTCACAGTTCAGGCTGGCCATTTCTCCTCAATCTTGACGAGGTCTGCACTGCCTTAGAGCAATGCCTCACAGGCTTGGGGAAGTAGTCAATTTCTCTCCGTTTACTCAACCTGCAATAGTGCACTGACCCTGAAGCCAGTTTTTCCACCATCCATCTGAAAGCAATGGCTCAACACAATTATCTCCAGGCAGCTCACTGCTTTAGCAGGCAGGCACCTTGTTACATTCCTTCAGCTCAAAATGGGTACTGGACTAAAGAGGCTCTTTTCTTCTTAAAACCTAAAACCTAAGAAATTCACTCTCTATGCAAACTCATTAAACATGACAGTACAACACAGCTACTTCAAACAGCATAGTAGGAGAGCTTGTGTGGCTTCACTTTCCAGAGCAGCTATGCAAAGGACTTTCATGCTCACCTGCTGATGAGAATTAAGTCTTCACTGTGGCAGAGTAAACCAGGGTAGAAAACAGGCTTCTCTGGGAATGCATAACCTGTTTTTCAAGTTACCACCAGACCAAGCTGAGCTCACCCAGCACAGATTCACCACCCCAAATCCCACCTTAACTATCTACACTAATAAAAGAGAAACATGCAAATTGGTGTCACTTCGCTATGCCCACCAGCCAATCAGGATGAGTAATCAAATTAACCCAACAAAGATGGTGGTTAATTTGCATATGCAGGCACGGAGCAAAGACTGAAGACGACTGAAGACTGAAGAGGCTTGCCTTCTCTGCTGTGGTCGGAGTGGAGAAGCCTCCAGGCTTGCCTTCTCCGCTGCGGCCGGAGTGAAGGCCTGGGTCCCGGGTGCCGGAGGAAAACCAGTGCCAGCAGCCAGGGGAAGGAACGCCTATTGCATGAATCTCTTTGTGCAATGGGCCTCTAGTAGTCTAATGATTGTCCATTTTCTAGAGTAACTAGATCATCAAATAGTACTTAAGAGATGTGAAGCCACATTTCCCACTATGGGTTCTTTCAGCCCAGTTGACTTAGTGATAACATGGGCAGGGAGAGAAAAATGAGGAAGCGAGGAAGAATGAGAGAAACACCATTGATGGATTCTCTATCATATTATTTTATAGCTGCCATTAACGAGCCTTAAATGAACAAAGATACTGGTATTTTCACTGAACTTTTTGTGCACAAGAATCAGGTCCTAGACTGAGCCCATTGGGGAAAATCCATAAGAAAGAATCCAAAAAGCTGCAGCAGTTTGACTGGCTGATTTCTGAGCTGACATTCTGTGTGACCTTCTACAGATGCTCTATCCATCAGGATGTGACATGGTATGAGAGGTAAATGTCACATATCAGGGCAACGTTCTGGGCCAAAGAGCAAGAGAAGTGATCTCAATGACAAAGTCTTAAGTATAAATAACAATATGACCAAACTCACTCCTCCTCTAACTATAGAGCATGACCTGGCAATTACCAAACTTCTAAAACTAAAGTACAAGGCCCCAGAAAAATGGCCGAGTGAGGCAAGCACCTGCATCACTATTTGAAATAGTGGATGTATTTTGGTCGAGTCCAAGCAGGCTGCTGAGCTATCCAAGTCAGCTCAGCAATAGGAGCCCAGATCTTGCTCTGTTTCCTGGGAAGTCTGGGAATCACTCAACAACCAGCACCACCCAGTGACAGCCGTCTCAGCGAGTAAAAGCCTTGAAGAATGTCGCTGGTAGGAAATATTGCTGAGCAGAATGCATGTCCTTGGGGCAACCAGCCACAGGGATGAAGGACAAACGTAAAATGTCACAGGGCTTCTCAAACGCTCTCCTGCCAACTGTCAGAAGTGTGAAAGCAAAACTCATTTCCTAATAAATGTTTTCATTTCCTTTGTACATGACAAAAGGTCTGGAGGTGTTAATGGGAGGGGCTAGGGAGCAGAGGCCTCTGGAGGTAAGAACCAGAGGCAAATGTCCTGCACACGTAAGCAGGGCTTCACTGTTCGTCCCGGGGAATGAAGACAGTACAGTGATGACAACAGCATCTTATGCAGTACTTGATCTCCATAGAAAGATCGTCTCTAATATATCTCTATTACACAGATTTAAAAAACTGAGGTCCAAGTGTACTTAATCAAGATTAGACAGCAAGTTCGAAGTGTGCCCCTTTTCTTTTCATGGGGGAAAACTGGAATAAAAGAATATAGGCTTTCTCAGCATATTATTTCCCATAACATTCTGCCCAGGGTTAGGCAGGAAATTGGGAAAGAAAAAAGGGGCCATGGATCCCAATGCGTTTAATAATTATTCATCTCACCTGGCCTCTGCGGCAAGCAGCTCGTCATAGTGAGAGGATCTCTGATCGTCATCCTGCCGGTATCTGATCACCGTGGCTAGACCTTTGCTGACAAGGGCCTCGGCAATGTTTCTGCAACAGAAAAGATAGGTCAGTGAGCACCGGAGGTGCATATGGGGCTCAGTCAACAGAAATAATAACAGTTCGCACCTGGAGGTCTTAACGTGTCCTGGCAGAAGGAGGAGAAGCCAAGGATTTTAAGACCAATGAGCTGCTAAGCTAGAAATCCAAATAAAAGATGGAATAAAGTTCCCCAGCTCAGCACTTTTTGGCTAGTACAGTCAGATGCTATATCAATCAGTACATAAAAACAAGCAGAGAATATCTATAAGAAGCCCACATTAGGCCAGCCTTTCTACAGAATGTTATCAATAAGCTACTACCTTCAAGAAAAGTCTGCTTTAAAACATCAGATAAACAGATAAAAAATAAAAACACATAAAAGCATGACCTAAATTTCTCAAAATCTCTTCTCTAGCCTACCCTATAACTAGCAAATGTCTTATTCCAGTTTGGCAGTGTTAGAAACACTGGTCTAACATAACAGTCGGTGCTTCCCTTCTCATCAGAACTCCTGACCGTGGCTCTCCCACCCAAAGGGGCGTGCAGAAGGTGAGTCTATGAGTGAATTGGGTAGGGATGGGGAGGAAGGTACTGGGGGTGGGATAAAAGTTCTTCATAGAAAATGGGGGAACAAATAAAATCTGAGATGACCAGCTGTGGAATAATATTCCGAGTGGTCCGTTTAGGACGAAAGAACATGCAGATTAGAATCCTTCTTAAATCAGTTCTCAATGGTGTTCAATCTTCTTCCCTTTGCTAGAATTAGAAAGAGGTCCTACTCTAAGTGACTTATATCCACTAACTAGAGAAGAGTGCACTGGACATGACTCGCAGACAACTAATGAAGCCTATCTGCATGGTTCTTCCGCATGCTGGAAAGAACCTTGATGCGAAGCACTCACTCTACAAAAACAAATTTTCAAAAATTACCTGTAGCAAGTACTGGAATCCAAGAGGCATGAAGTTATTGGGGCAGACTGGTGGTTATGTCTTTCTTTGTGTCTGTCATAATTACATGAAAGGTCCCACTCAAACCATCTGGTGAGCTGCCCTTTAGGGAGGGGGTATGCTAAGCAATAGGCGACTGTACCATATGCTATGATTTAGGGTTGTTTGGAAATGTAGTTAACTCTTAACAAACTGAGGTTCCTAGAGACTCAGATTTGGAGATGCTGGGAGCTGAACTAAACATTTTATGTGCATGTTTAATCCACTTAAAGAAGGATTCTCTTCATCAAAACCCAGGAAATTACTGTTTTAAAAGATGAAGAAAAAAATAATGTGTGCAGAAGAGAAAGGAGGAAAAGATGCTGTGGCCGATTCCCCTCTGCTGCCTGTTTATCTACTGCCAGCACGATATTAATATCTCCTAACCACCACGGAATTAGCACTTCTCAAATCCACTCCCACAAAGAGGCTGCTTTGCTGGCCACCCTGTCTCCTGAGTCACCGCATAAGCATGCTGGCAAACGCTGTCATTATCACAGAGTTGGGTTTGGCAGCATGGAGAATGCCAACAGCCCCAAGTCCACAGCTGTAGATGTTGATATACGGTGAGAATTTAACTCAGGGTGTCACCATGAAGCCCCAAGTGGGCAGGAGAGGGGCTCCCTTGTAACACGCTGAGAGGTCTGAGGATTGGAAATGCCAGAAGAACAAAGACGTATTTGTTGCTGCATTTTGAATTGCTGCGCATTGACATTTTACAGTCAATACATGGGGTCTGGAGGAGAGAGTTGGAATGACAAAGCAGGCAAGAAAAAATTCAACACAAACAAGCTTCTATCTGAAAAAGCGAGAGAACACTAAGCAAAACAGCACAAATGTTTAATGATCCACTCCTGTTAATGCTGCTCAAATCAATTCACAGAATTACTGAGTACCTGCGTGGCCAGCCGAGCACCAAGGGCACAAGCATTCCTTATGCCTGCTGCCCTCTGTATCCTGTCAGCAATGTCCACAAGTCGGCGAAGGCCTCAGATTCCCAACTCCACACCCTGCCCACTACCCTCCTCTTCTTTCTCTCGGAAGCCTAGAGTGTAAGCCATATTCTCTTAGCTTCATGTCTCTAATTACAGATTTCTCCTGGAGGAACAGTTGTGGTGCTGCTGCTTAGCAGTAAGGAGAGTAAAAACACATGAAATAATAATAACCACCATCATTACTGGGATGAGCCAGGCATGAGAATCATGTCATGTGTGTTTTCTTCTTGGTGTGTGCTCCCTTGTGATACTCCTCAGTGTCTATCTTCCTTCTAAATTATGAGGTCGGAGAGGGCAAGAGTCTCCTTGTTCTTGCTTAGTAACACAGGGACTAGACCACACTTGGCATAAAGGAGACAGTAAATATTTCTGGATGAAAAATTTAGCTTATTTAGGATAATTTTTCACTGTGGTAAAAATCACAGCACATTCTTATAATTTTATTTTAATACAACCCGAAACTCGAGATACTCTTGAAAATGTCAGAAAAACACCCAATCATTTCGGAGAGGCAGCACTGGAACATTATTTATTATCCTAAGCATATATTAGCCAAGCTTGCTGAGAACAGAATTAACGACAAAAGCTTTCTACATATGCCTTACCAGCTTTTGTCTTTCTCCTCTCCATTATCTAGGACTTAGAATTAAAGGGAATGAAAGGGAGAGAGAGAAAATGGAATTAGCCTAGTCTATGTACTTGACTCTCTCATTCATTTCTTTTGGCTGCTAATGAAAGGTCAAGAGATTCAGCCCCGCCCCGCCCCCAAAGATGGTTCAGAAACCGACACTGCTGTGTTGATCATTTGCCCAGTAAGAAAAGAGAACATTAAATTACGTGCCATGACATTATGTCGCTTTAGACAAATTTATAAGTTCTGCTTTCTTGAGTGTATCAGTAATTCTACTCCAATTACACATGTCTGGCTCAAATGGATAATTCACAATCAGCATACAAAAAGGACACTACGAACAGCCTGAGAATTAGTGCTGGGATTGAGTTGCTTCTCCAAACTAAAAGAGAAATTTAGGTTCTATTAAAAGTGAACACTTTCCATTAGACATGACCAGATATCCTTGATACAAACACAACCAACACACAGATTTTCTCCAAAGATCTGTACTAGTTGAAATCTTCCCCTCCCACTTGTTTCAACAGCAAGTAGGTGGTTTAATGAGCACATACTTTCCAATAATAAGATACCTCTGAAACCGTGGGGTCCTAATATTCTGCCAACTTGGAGAAAAGGTGTTCTATGTCCATACTCGAGAATACAGTTATTTAAATAGATTTCATTTACAGGAGATTATAATTGTTTTATCACATTTTTGGCAGTCTTCTCCATCCACAATCCCCCCACCCCAATCAAAACTTACAGAAAAGTTGCACATACTGTATGAAGAACAGACCCTCCATCTTTGAACCATGTAAGAGTAAGTAACTGACCAGGTGTACCATCACCCCCAAATATTTTAGTGTTCATTTCCTACACACTAGGATATTTTCCTGTATTATAATAATAATAAAAAAACAATGAATAGAATAGGATATCAACAAGAACACAATATTATCAGAATCAGTGTTACATTTAGACGTCATGTCTCCTTAGTCTGGAACACTTCCTCAGTCTTTCTTACAATGCGTGGCTTGACACTTGGAAGAGCATAGGCCAATTACTTCTGTGTCCGATGCAGATTATGCATCATTGGAGGCAACACACAGAAGATATGCTGTACTGTTCCCTAAGCCCCCTATGAAATGATCTATAATTTACCACTGATGTCCACTTTAATCACTTGATCAGGATGGTGTCTACCAGGCTTCTCCACTGTAGTTACTCCTTTTCCTCTTTATAATTATAGGAGACACTTTAAGCTATGTAATTTTCAGCCCTCAAACTCGCAAGTTAGTCATTTATTTATTTGAGCAGTATAAACTCATGGAATCTCATTTTATTCAAAGGGTTATAATCTACTACTATCATTATTTATTCTGATGCTGAAATTGTTCCCAATCTGGCTAGTGAAAACTGGCTCAGTGGGCTTCTGTGCCCTATGGACATGCCCCGATCATTCTTTGAGCATGTCCTGCTTTCCAGGACAACAACATATCCGGACTTATCTTGTGCTGTTTTCTGTAACTCTGAAATTAGCCAATTATCTAGTAGCCTACATTTACATCATTATTTCTAAATATTTATTTCTAATACTATTGGAAACCATGTGTGACAGTCATGAAAATGTGCCTCTCAGATTTCTCACTGCAGGAAGCATTTCTCAGTGACAGTCCCAGCTGCTATGCTCGGAACCACGGCTATGCTTTCCACCAGCCATTGCCAGCCAAAGACTGAGCACAGACAGCAGAGACACTGATGCAGGCCTATTGCTGAGACTTTGGACTCCTCTGATGGGCAACTTTGGCTTGCGGACTCCTTGTCAGCTTGGCAGAAACTCTTAGAATTAACTGCCCTACAGCTTAGATTTTTCCAGTTCGACCTTCCTTCTTTCCCTCCCTCCTCTCCACAGGGCTAAGGCCCACAGTGCAGTCTGATGGCTCTCCCAGCCTCATCCGGATCCCTGAGAAGAGTCTTCCCCAATTAAACTCTTGCACTGCACATCTAGTCCCATCTCGGCATCAGCTTCTTAGAAAACCTGAAACAATATATCATGAATTAACACAGATATCTATAATCCCAACCCAATATTACAGGGCTCATTGTAGTTTTCTTCCTTTCCATATTTATACCTCCCTTCTCTGACTGTGAGAAACCTGGCTTACATTACCCTTAATGTTTTACTTATAAGAAAAATCTCCCTTTATATACTTATACACTTACTTGCTCACTCATACATACTCTGACTTCCTTGATTTAGTACCTAACAATAGAGCTAATTTAAGAGGAATACACTACTTAATAAAAAAAAGGACCTGGGTTAAATGGATAAGTATTTTAAAAGAGTGGGCATAGGGAATAATAACACACACACACCCACACACACACACACCCTTCATTCTCCATCTGAATAA